CAGCCGCTGCCTGCCGGGCGGGGGCCTCCGAGGGACTGCGGTCCCCGGCCGGCCGCTGGGCTGCAGGAGGGCTGGGAGCGGCCTCAGGGGAGGGCAGGCTGCAAAGGGAAGGCTGCTGAGAAAAGGGGTTTGTCTGGGCAATGGGGGGAGGGGAGTCCTACCTCAGGCTCAGCCAACAGCTAGGGTCAAGGTTAGGGTTAACAGATTAATTTATTTAGCAGGAAATGGTCAAGTCCCTTTGCAGATGGGGGCAGATGAGCCCTGTAGGACCACCTGGACTGAGGGGCATTGGGCTTACATTTGTGTTGGCTGCAAGGTGTAACAGGTTCTCTAGAAAGGGAGACAGGAAAGAAAAGACTAGCCAATGGCCTGAGACTCACTTGGAGAAAGTAAGGATGGGGGCAGATAGAGCCTGATCCACAGGTCTAACAGTAAATCAAAACCCTCCTTGAGAAATAGTCAAGGGAAACCTGCCCCCACCTTCCCATTTTTTTAATTGTTTTTATGTGCCAAAGGTGAGTCTTGACAGATCAACAAGTCTACTGCTGCCTTGTTTTCTACTCTGAAATGGTTCTGCAGATAAACAGGATCAAGCTAAATTTCAGGCATAAGGCTCAGTTTTAATAACTTACTTGTTAATGTTAGCATTTAAACCTAAGTGGACAATTAAGATATATGTAATTGCACATCGTTTAATAAATTGCTGTCACGACTTGGCCCAAACTTACCTTAATGAACACCGTTTGCTGTGACTAAGATTGCTGGTTACGGTAGAGCCTGGTCATTCACAGCTCTGAGACCGTACTGCACCCTTCTCAGTACAAACCTCTTTCTTGACTGAGTACACCCTTGAAATGTCAGACTTCAGACTCAGGAATCAGGGATTTATGCTTCTGCCATCTCTTGGTCTCTCTCTCATCCACTCTTCCCATCGTTCATATGGACATCTTAAGAGTTTTATCAGGCCTGCAGTCAATCCGGATTTAACAAATCTGACCCTTTCATGAACACTTGGAGCAGGAAGGAGAAAGAGCAGGAGGTTTCTTACCTCTGTGCTCCACTCCCCTCCCAAAGCTTTACAGCTCGTGAGCGCCAATACTCTCAGCACTATTCTCTGTTCTTCACAACTGTCAGCACTTCCTATCTCTCAGATGACACCAGTGGAGAAGGCAGATGGAGGTAGACATGTCAGGCCTGCTCCCCCAACAGCAGAACTGCATGCTGAGTCCGTGATATTAGTCCTTTTGAAGGTGGCGGTTTTTCTTTCTTCTGACAAGTACCATTCTGACAACAGAATACTACAGCTGACTGCTAGCCGGAGGAGCAACGGAGGAGCTACAAATGAGCTCAAAGTAGCAGTCTGCTGCAGGATTTAGTCCATTTCTTACTTATTCCTTTTCCCCATTTATATACTTTTTTTTTTTTAAAGTGTGTAGCTGTAACCTAGGGTCATTAGATACTGATATATTCAAGTCTCCAGATTTGGAGGACCAGTTGACTACCTACAGGGGTTGAGAGGAATTTATCCTAGTGTAAAACACTAAATGTTTTACCTGGTATTTTGTTTGGGAATAATCTGAAGTAAGAAAGGTCGTAATTCTCTTATTACTAGTTATTGAGATACCTAGTGATAGCCTGAAGGCCAAATACGAAGACAGACCGGTCCTTGTTCTGGCCAGGCAGGTCTTACATTTTTACTCTTTATCTGTTTTGTAGCATATCAAATATCCAAAGCATTGGGTTTTTCTGTTCGTTTTTCAAAACAGTGCATGGCCCATGTCTCAGTACATGAGAGGTATGAAAGACAAACATACTCCAAGTCCAAGTACAGTATTTAACATGAACATCTAATTCATAGGCAAGCACACTGATGGCCTGAGAGTCCCTAAGAACAGTGTAATTAGATGGTTAAACAATTAAGTACTGAACAATAATTGATAACTTTTATACAAAGTTTAAGATGCCCAGAAGAATAAATCTGAAAAATCATGTAGCAAATAGTGATTTTAACTGAAGAGTACAAGGCAACTTAAAGCACCTACAGCATTTATACAGTTGAGAAATACAAACACAGTGATAATTACTTCCCTGAGCAAAAGCCCATTTAAATACAATAAACAAAAGTTATTCAAACATACATACTTATGCAGATGTAAAATTGTTCCAATTTGTTAAAAGATGAAGACCAGAAGATAAGCAATTTGTTCCTTTAAGATAAGTACAACTACTTCTTTTAAAACTCAAATATTAAATTTAATTAGATCAGCCTGTTAATTTACTCTACAAGCTAGTATTACTGCAGACATTTTATTTTGGTTTGACCAGATGAGTATTGAGGATGAATATTAGGATTTTCTCCTTTACGTTGGAAAAAAGTTGCTATCAGTATACAATGAAACAACAGCAGCAGCTTAAGATATCATTTATCTTGCTCATTACTCAACATTTCACATAGTGTGTATTCAGCCATAGTGTGAATTTGAAAGCCAGAATTAAGAACGTAGTCTCCTCTTACAGTCCAGGCTCCAAGCAACAGTCACAAGCAGTAATATTTAACAAGTTTCAGTACCCACTCTCTTGCATCTTCCAAAACGCATGGGTTTGAAAGTATTTAACACAATATATATGCTCCATATAAAATGATCTAGTGACTAGATGCTGTCCAGGTTTCCAAATACTTAAGTGTCTCAACCAAGGTAAACAAACAAACAATGTTATTTTACTTTCCCAGCTGTGTAAGGCTAATGGTATTTAAGTTCATATCAGCGTCTCTATTACTGAGGAAGAAAAATGGCAACTTCATTAACAGGCACTGGTAAGAATGAAAAGTTAATTTACAGAAGAAAAACATCCTGAATACTGTAAAATAGTGCATATATCAGAAGAATTTATTTTGTGCTCTTAGCTTCTTGTGTAGCGTAACAAATGTTCGTTATATTGCTGGTCATTCACAGCTTGATCATCCATCTTTGGCTGTGGACAAACCACATCAGCAAAAGTGGAATCCATTTATTTCACTGATGGCACCACCAAGTTAACAATAGTGTACACTTCAACCAGTTTTCTAGGCCCTTACTCAGATCCTCATGTTTTTTCCCCAACACTAGCAGATCTGAAGTCAGGAAACTAGGTAATAAAATATTTCCTACATGGTAGCACACATAGTATTACAAGTTTAATAGAAGCTGCACTAGGTGACCTCTGGAGGTCCCTTCCAACCTAAATTATTCCATGATTCTGGGATTTTTCAGCAAATAGGACTTAAGACTATACAACTGACTTATTACCCATCTGCTTAAATCAAAATACAAATAAAAGCTTTACAAAAAGTGATGAAAAGCTTTGTATTACTAAGAGATGTAAAACCTGTCTACCTTTCTGTTCTTTGCTAATCAGTTGCTTCTTCCCAGACACGGGCTGAATCACGATGGTTTCTATCTGATTTTTAAATCAGGCAGTCTTTATAGTATCAGTCATAGCAAATAAAACAGTATTAAAAACTATATCAAAAGACTGGAATGTGATTTAAGTGACATCCACTTTGCAGGATAACAGCTATGTGAGTCCTCATATGAAGCTGAAAGAAAAACAACCCAAATCCAACTTTAAAAGACAGTAACTCTATTTCCTCTACTGGCTGTATGTTGTACTAACTTGATATTGATTAATTAGATGACTTTGTATCAGCATGTACAGCGCATAATTTGCTGTATAACAAAATTAACTTGTTTGTTCACATAGAAAAACGGAGTGTTTTCATAAGGTTCAGCTGTTCAGAACATCTGTAATTCATTTTTACTTCCTACTTTCTAAGTCCACCTAAGAATAATTTAACAAAGAATTGTTGTTTTAGCCTGTTAATATGATCAAGGCTCTAACAGACCACACTGCTTCCTCTCCCCATCTCCTTCCAGTGCTCACCAGAACGTGCCTAATGACAGAAGGAACAAACATGAACTGAAGACGCTTGCATTAGCAAGTGCGACTCAAACTCCTACAATACAGTAAAGAGGATCTGAACCAAATACTGTATTTTCCATGAGGCCATAGCTGTTGTCAGAGTATGATGCATGTTAATTGCCTCCTTAAAAAAGCAGGCCTCTAGATATCTAGGAATTGGGAAAAAATATACGTCTATAACTTCAGTTTGTTTATGCTGTGTCCCTACTATTAAATATTTTTTGCCTACAGCACTGGCACTACAAGAAGTGACACTCAAAAATGCAGCCTTTCCTCTTGCTGCATTCTTACAAATGCTGGCTAGACTTCTTCACTGGAAAGGATTTGTGAAGGCATGCGAAAATCAGCTGGCTTCCCTACATTCACCCGAAAAAGAAGTACAACAAACAAGTCCTGCTGAAGGACTGACCTCACTGGATAACCTGGACATCTGTAACACAGGGGATGCCCCTTACTCTATTTGCTAAACCGTCTTTGATGCTTTGCTTATTAAGCTTTTTAATTTTACAGGATTCTACCAAAAGGGCAGTTATTAAGGATGAATTTTTCAGCACAAAGATTGGAGAGAGGGGGGGAAGAGAGGGGGGGAAGAGAGGGGGGGAAGGGTCGGAGGGCAGAGAAAGACAGTTGCATATGGACATAAACAGCCTTCTGCCCTTTACTATCAGGTCAAGGAACTTAAGAATTTTTTCCAGTCTGGGCAAAACCTGCAGATACTTGGCCCAAACGCCCCAAAGTCATTGATTGGCACTAGTCCCTTCTTCTCATAATGCAGAACAGAATATTAGGGAAGAGGAAAAAGAGTAGCCTTCCCCTTAGGATACCTGCATATTGTCTGGTAACTCTAGAAGTGTATGCAAAACACAGAAAAGGAATCCTTAAAACATTTGTCTAACAAAGCAGTTCATGCAACAATAATTCAATAGATGCATAAATAATTCAATAGATGTTTACCTGAAGGACTTATCCCAGGAGTGACACAAGCATCACGACACCCATAAACTGAGTGAAGAGCAACAAAGGTGTGATAAATGACCAGACAGGCCATAGGGCAATGTTGAAACTGGGAAGGAAAGCAAGACGGTTTAGGTAAGTTCTGTTGTTCGATTACAGAAACACTAGTCACACAAAGAAAACTTGGCACAAGAGGTAATGAGACTTCAATGATTCAGCCTGGAAAAATGCTCATTTCTTTACGATTTGAAAGAAAACCAAAACTAGCACCAGCTTATTATTAACTGGTAGCTTGGTTTACTACTCTCATTTACTGACAACTCATCCTTGAACTTCAATAGCTGCCGAGGATTTTACACTGAGCAAGTCCACTCAGTCCCATCAGGGGTAAAGATAACGTTTTACTTTCAGAATCTGTGTATGAAGTAAGATGTAGAGCAGCAGAGATGAGCCTTAATTTGTACTTCTAGCTAGGCAGATGTGAGTTTGAGTTAACTGAACAGAAAGGGGCAGGGGGAACAAACACTTCTACGACTGAACTGGAAAGATTATGAATCTGACTGATTCTAAACTATAGCGCACCTTTATCCTTTTCAGGCTTCTTTTCGCTTCTAGCACTGCAACAAATACGCTAAAGATCATGAACTGGCGTTGTTCAGATGTAACATCTAAACTTAAAAGAGCCAGCTTTCACTCACAAGTCAAATGCACATACTTACACACATACACACACATAATTTTTTGTATCTTTTTATTTTTACTCACATGCATATTTGCTCAACTGATTCCTATAGTTTTACAGAGAAAATAGCTCTTACTAGAAGGACCATTATCTGACAAGATATAACCCTTTAAAACACACACAAGAATAGTTAAAATGTAAATTTCAGTAATGTGTTTTTTATTTGTAGATTTGGTTTGATAGTGAAGAACTCTGTACTAGGAACTGATCTGGCATAATTTTCCCAGCTAGAAAATACACTGTTCTTAATTTGTAAACTTAACAAACAGTTGGAAAAGATAAGCAATTTACCCTAACAAGTTGCAGGACTTCTGCTTCCAAAAAAAGCTGATTTATCATAAAAACCATCTCTTATGTTTAAAGACAGACAGACAGACCTACCACTCCCACTAGCAGAATAACATATAACTCCACAGTCAGCCTCATTTACTTAAAGGGAACTATTAATGAAAAGACATACTGACACCTATACATGCAAACAGTAAAGGTGAAAAAAACAGCCTTGTGGATGAATGTTGAATGTGGAAGAAATTATGGATACTAAGCAGAACTGGTATGGTCACTAGTATGTTCAGCAAAATCACAGAAATTATACTTTTTATAAAAATGAGCCCATTAACATGGTTGGACTTGCACAGGTTTAGTAAAAGTTGGTAGGCCCACAGTATTCTAACTTACCATATTGCTGCTGCAATAAAGGTAGTTGTCGTGATAGGTATCAGTACTGGATACTGTGCATCATAGTCCTCAATTCCACAATACCATTCAAGATATATTATGCAGTAAAAAGCAACAGACAAACATGCAGCCAATAAACAACTGCCAGAGGCAAACCACCAACTGTGGGGGGAAAAAGCATGAGTAAGTACTGTCACATTTCAGTCTGCACATTAATCTTCATTCTACTTTAAAAACAGAAGAGAAAATACCTGTTAATTTTACAGATTGTCCTAAAGTTGCTGGAAAGTCTTTTCTTAAACTGCTTTTGCAAAATACGTACTTTTGTCTTTCTAAAGAGGTCTAATATGCATAACTACTGAAGTTTAATTTCTTAATGTACTGTCCTTGTCATTTATTTTTCCTCAAATATATTAGAATTACAGTGCAACAGACCTTGCCAGTAATCTACCATACTACCACACTAAAATTAGTTTGTCAGTAATGAAATAAAATAGGCTCTATAGCAACTATGCTTCACAGTATAAATTAGACTTTACTGATTTTTGTGCAAAGAAATGTTGTAGAAAGCTTTCAAGTTTATGAACTCTCAAATTTAACAGACTAGCAGAATGGAAAATTTTCTTTATAGCCACTGAAGAAAAGAGTACAGAATTCCAAGATTTCAAACTCAGAAACAATATAGCACCGGGTTTGTGATTATTTAGGAAGCCACACATTTAAGCCTACTAGGGGACAGACTTCCAGAGTAAGATGGGATCGACAGCTTGGCAGGGAAAGTGCATTTCAGTAAAATCTGAAAAATACATGAATGTATATTAGCAATTTAAAAAAAAAAAAAGTGAATTCTTGTTACTGCACTTTGATAACTAAAATACAAGGGGTCCTCAAGTTGCTGCTTACTCCAGACAACGTTTCCTCTGGCATCTTGCAGTAAATGTCTAATGCTATTTTGATACCTGGATACTACTAATTGAGACGTCTGCATTAAGAGAGTAGTTGCCATAGTCTACCTAAATAACAGTGGAGGAAGACAGGATCCTTCAGAGAGTAGTTGCAGACACCCAAAATCTGCATCACACCCTGGAGACAGTAGTTTCTATCCACAGACAAGTGGATGTAGGATGCATTTAGACCACGTCTGCAACTTCAGTTCCAGAGAATCTCAGCACAGAGCAAGGCCATGTTTAGTTTGTACATACTAATCCAACAGTGACAGTGAGGCAGTACTTGAGAGGGTTCAGAAAACACCGTCAGGTGAAAATATCTGAAAACATTTGAGTTCCACCAATCCCATTGAAAATAATTCCATAGAAGTTATTTCACTTATCTTTCACTGGTCTGCTCAAAGTCGTCTAAAAATATTCCAGGGAAGTTAACTTCATTTTGATGTTTGAAGAAAGATTTCAGGTTTTTTGATAAAAATATAACCAAAACCTCCACGGTTTCAACAAAATAGGTAGAGATTTCTTCTCCTTAAGTATAAACTTAATGGTACAACATTAAAACATTCTGTCATTAAAACAAATTTTTCAGGTACATAGATGGCTCAGCAGAGCCTAAATCAAAACAAAATTATATCGAGTAAGATTACAAGAAACCTCAAGTATTGTATTTACTTAAAAATTAGTCTAATAATACTCAAGCTCTTGCTAAAAAATATTACTGCTGATTTCTACTTTTGTCTGCCAGGTTGCGTATGGGTTTTGGTTTGTGTGATTAGTAAATAAGAAAATCTGAATTTTCCTGTAACAAGTTATTAATATTATCAAATTTTGTCCAGTGAACTCTAGCTCAAGATTAAGTCCTACCACGATGAAATTACTGGCTTTATCTAAAAAAAAGTCCAAAATTAATAACACCTCATGAGAAAAAGTTACGTTTGTTTCTTTCAGTGTTTCCACAGTTTATCTATCTCTTTCTTAGTATGGGATGCTCTGGATGAACACAATTTTCTAGATGGGGCCTTACCAGCATGGTATGGAAAATTATATTTCACATTGTACCTATAAAAACTTCTACTGGATATATTAAAAACAATGCCTTTTTTCCCCAAGTAACAACTAGGTTGACTGATATTGATGTGTGGTCTGTAACAGTTTCCACATTCTTTTCTATAGCACTGTACTTACTGTTCTCCATTTTGCACCTATGTATTAGAGGTTGTCTTCTTAAGCGTATGTGCATCTATACCTCTTGAATTTTAACTTTGTTCTACACACTATTTCTCCAGCTTGAGAAGTGATTTGAAATCCACTGATACTCATTTGGAATTAAATTTTCTCTTCCCAAATAGTCATAGCGCTTCCCACCTCAGCATCGTCTTCGAACCAAGGATGCACTCTCCCTAGTCTATCTTTCCATTTACGCACATTATTTTGGAACACTCTTACAAACCCATTCTCATGGTCATATCCACTATACACACTACACTGAATAGTCTGTTCTACATGCTGAACAGTTTAAGTTTACATTCCTGTAGGTAGGAATTTTAAGATTTTCAGACATGGTTTGTGAACTAACCGTAATTCAAGTGATTTCAGAAAGTGATAAGCTGAAGAAGAAAGGTCATATAAGATGCACAATCCTAGAGTGTAAGACACTTAACGCTTAGAGACACTTAATATTCCTGCTCTAAAAAGTCTCACTGAAATCATTTGCATTATTTGTAGTAGTAAAGCATGTGCCTATATATTTCTGTAATCAAAGTCTTCAAAAATACACGAAAGATCCAATAATGATTTTAAACCTTGAGAAAATAGACAAAGTTTTGAGTCAATTGATTCAACTCACTGAAAATTGACGTTTGCTGTTCTGTAGAACAGTCATCAAAATAAATTAGAGAGAGAAAGTTAAGAAGCTGCTATCTCACGTTTAGGTGTTATTCTGTAACATTTATATTTAATGACATTTCTTTACTCATCACATCTTCAGGAACACAACTTTGACTAGACAAGTTACCACTTTCAAGCTGAAGGTATTATTTCTCTATAGAAGGACTTTAATTATTTCAGCCTAGAGCTAGATATAATGCATTTTCTCCAACAGGTAAAGGAGGCTTGAGAGGCTAAGGTAACGGGAATGAATTCCAAGTTCTGTTTTCCAGCACTGTGGCCAAATGTAGCATCACAGGATTGCCTTATGAAGTAGCTCCTTTACAGAGCAAGAGAGGGAAAAAAACAAAAAAACCCTCACTTCCTATTGTATATCTTGTTTATCCAAGATTTAAAACACAGAAGTAATAGAAGTCAGAAGTAACAATCTGAGTGTGATTGCAAGATGAGTACACAACTTCTCTTTGTAAGAAAAGGTATCTTACCTATCTGCTTGAATAGTTTCTTTAATGGCTTTAAAAAACTCAAAGTAATATGTCATGGCAATTGATGCCAAAATCCAGAATGCCGATTTTTTTTTTGCCGAGTGAACATTCAGTCTGGGGGGAGGCTTTCTTTTTTTCTCTGCAGCTGTAGACTCTTCTGTAAATAAGAACATAATGACACCACTAAAGCCAGTCATTAAGTGGAGTATGATTTTAGTTACTTAAAACACGGTGCTTAATCCTTTTAAATCATTTATCTTTAGCGATTATTATACTCAGCTTAATATTCTTTGTATTAGAGAGGAAGCATTCTAAAAAGCCCTGCACATTTCCTGAAATAAAACAGATTAAGCAAGGTACCTTTTGATCAAACAGCAAGGCAATAACAATAAGCATATACTTTGCTTGTGTACCCTTTTAGAAAATTAACAGCTGCCGAGAATATGAAAGAGCTATTTAACCACTTAAGAACTTCCAATTGTTATTGAAGTGTTTTTATTAAACTGCATATAGAAGGGCAAGGTCTGTACCCCAATTACTAAATTATTTGTGTTCATTTTCATTAACTTCAATGTTTGCTTGATTTAGGCTGTATACGTGGAGCAGGTAAACTGAAAATAAGACTATGCTGAAAAATGTCCTTTCTTTTGTTCTCATCACTGTATATTGTGTCATAGAAAGCAGGACAACGGGGCAAGCAGACTTGACAGCTTACTTTCGGCACGACAGAGACCAACTAACAAGCTGAATGCTTAGATGCGCTGTCCAAAAAATGAAAGGGAACAGACGTATCTGCGGAAGCGTAGGTGTATTTGATGTTTCAGTCATTAAACCTCCTTTATCGCTAAAAGTTATTGGTGATTTGGGTTAAGAGGAACACCACGGTTTTGTGCCTTCAGCAGTGTAATGCGCCTTACTCTCCACTCCCCCCCCCACTCCCACTAGCGGAGCGGTAACAGCCC